AACTGTTTGAGGAAAGGGCCATTTTGCACCAGGAAGCTCTTCAAGGCAGGGCAAAATGAAGTGCAGCTGGAGTCCTCGGATCAATGAAAGGAATTAAGAGGCCAACTAAGTACCTTGGAAAAGAAAGGAGAGCAAGTGCACAGATGACAAAACTATAAAAAGTTATTTTAAAAATTAAATTAAAAATTCATTAAAACTAAATTAAAAATGTTTTAATTATAAAAAGAGTAAGGGGCTCAGAATATAATTTAGTCTGTGTTTGCAATCCTGTCAAAGGTCTTGAAAATGACTGGTTTGTCACTAAAAATCCAAACACAAATGTCTCTGCTGGGAAGTCAAGACCAGTTTCTTGGAGGATAATAAACCTTGATCAAATCCTGATGAGTTAAGTCACCTCAATCTAGGGAAATTCAGTCTCCCTAATTCAGTCTGATGTCCACCTATGTGGCTCACTCCTCTCTGTGGAGGTTAAAGACATAAGTCACAGGGAAGGACGTAAGTATCAGTCCTCAAACGTCTACTCTCAAATGACCCTCTCTTTCTCCCTCTTCATTCTAGGTACTCCACAGATTCCTCTATTTGTGAGAGCAAACAGAACTCAAACACATCAACACAAACCTCCTTTCTGTATCTTCCAAGACATCCATAAAAAACAAAGTCAAACCTAGCACCACTAAAAGTTCCTTTTTAAAGTATAGAGGTAATATAGAACATGAACCCATTTTTATAAAAATACGATATTTAGTTGTGTATATCAAAAAGATTTAAAAGTATAAATGCCAGATGTGTATTCAAAATGACTGAGCAATTTTAATTCTCTTCCTTAATACCTATCTGTATTTTCCAATAATTTTTCAACAATGAGCATGTATTCTAATGGTTTTTATTAAATAAGAATTTTAAATCTTTATATCGTTTTAGTAATTACCTTTTCATGAAACTAGTAACAAGCCACGATTCTATTATCTCCTTAGAAATCTTTCACGCAATTTTTAATGAATTCTGGGAGTATCCTTGCTAAATAAAGAGGAAAAAAAGGAAAGTTACTAATGACATCTCTCCTATTATTCAAAAGAAAAATATTTCAGACAAAATTTTAGAGTAATTTCTTAGTTTCTGTTCTTTTGAGCAAACCCACGATATTGTATGATTTTGCTCTTAATCCAAACAATGGACAATGGAATTTTACTACATATCTATGTGAATTATCACTATGTGAATTATCACAAAAAGCAACAACTTTCTTTAATCTAACAAAAGGAAAAATGTAAATACAAACAAGTTGTTTTTTCTGATTTTTACTTTAGAAAAGTAACAACTTTAAACTTACTTCATCTACCAAAACATTAAAGCAACTGATTATTATAAAATTCTTTTATTTGTAAAAATGTAGATTCCAAGTTAATCAAAACATTTAAAAAAAATTTTTGGACACTTCCTAGATTAGGGATCAATGTTTATATCAATACATGAAGAAAAGAAGCTCAGGTCTTACATGTATCTCAACAAAAAGTCCTTAACAATTACTACGTCCTTTTTTTTTTACAGGCAAGAAATAAAGAAAATCAATCAGGTAAATATCAGCAAATTGTAGTCAAAGCTTTTTATCATCACATTTTAGAAAAAATATTTTTACTATCACTTTTTCTAGAGGTTGAAATAATAAAACAAAATCATCTTAATTTTTACTAAAGATGATTTTTAAATTTCTAATATTAACTGTATTAATAACCTGGAAAAGTGGGGCTGGCCCCGTGGCTTAGCGGTTAAGTGTGCGCGCTCCACTACTGGCGGCCCCGGTTCGGATTCCGGGCGCGCAGCGATGCACCGCTTGTCCGGCCATGCTGAGGCCTCGTCCCACATACAGCAACTAGAATGATGTGCAACTATGACATACAACCATCTGCTGGGGCTTTGGGGAAAAAAAGGAGGAGGACTGGCAACAGACGTTAGCTCAGAGCTGGTCTTCCTCAGCAAAAAGAGGAGGATTAGCATGGATGTTAGCTCAGGGCTGATCTTCCTCATAAAAAAAATAATAATAAAATAAAATAAACTTTAAAAATAATAATAATAACAACCTGGAAAACTACTACTTACAAGGCTGCTCTACCTGTAGATTTTGTGTTTTAATATAGGCAACATCTGATCACTCCTAATGCCAATAATATATCTGAAGAATATTTTTATAAGAGAGAAACAATTTAAACACAGTACAATTGTTTTCAGAAGGACAGTGCAATCATTTTCCTTCCTTTGCTCAATTTTCACACTAAATATAACCCACATTTAGAATATTCTTATTTACCTTAATTTTTGGATATTCCTATGCATAAAACCAGCTATTTAAGAATACTGAGCAAAGGACCTTACCATTTGTTACACATGAATTCACAGATTTTTCTTTTTTCTGCTTTACAAGCAAAAATTACATTTCCACAAAGTAAAATGAGTGTTGGGTCAGCTAACTTGAGCTAGTGGTTAGGGCATGATGCTATAATAAGGCTAAACTGACCATCTAATCATTGATCCCACCAATTAACTTTCATCTATTGCAGGGTCACAGGCAGCATCAAAACCCCTGCTGGTCAGTTCTTTGGTCACAAGGAGGGGCAGTCAAATGTGCAGCTGGGTCAGCACAAATCCACTATCACCATGTTCTATTTAGCAACTTACCACAAACAAATCATGTAAGAGCTGTTATCTGGGAAGAAAACACCAATAACATACCCACTGGATCCTAAAACAGGTGATAATCTAAGAGGCGAAAGTGTAAAATCTATTTTAGATGCTACACTGAAGAAATATTTTTAATTTTATTTATTTTTTCCCCCAAAGCCCCAGTAGATAGTTGTATGTCATAGCTGCACATCCTTCCAGTTGCTGTATGTGGGACGCAGCCTCAGCATGGCCGGAGAAGCGGTGCATCCGTGCGCGCCCGGGATCCGAACCCGGGCCGCCAGCAGCAGAGCGCGAGCACTTAACCGCTAACCCACGGGGCTGGCCCTGAAGAAATATTTTTAAATCCGAATCTATTTCTACTAATCAAATTTATACTTTTAATTTTAAAATGCCACCACACTAAATTTTGAGTCCCACTGCTATGACAGACAATGATGGCAGTAACGTTCTTCTCAACTGGAAGAAATGTATTAAATATATAAAAAGATGACAAACGCTGATCCTTTTAACCTCTCAGCATTATTAATCCATGTACTTTTACCTTTACGTACAATCATAATCTAAGAGAACTATACCTTCAAATTACAATAAAAATTCTCTTCCAAAGAGAGACAAATCTGTTTCTCTTTTGGTAATAACTGCAACCCAACCACTTTTCCACCCTGAGTCTGTCTTCTGACCTATACTTCTTTCCCATACTATGCTGCAGGAGGCAATGGAATGACCACTTCAGTCCTACAGATTTGCTTCTCCTAGAGACTGAATTCCCTGGGGATAGCACAGCTTCCGCCAGGCTTTCTTCACACCTGTAGTCCATTACAGAGTATAAACTGACACACTATATGGTATCCATGTGCTCACAGATCAGCCTCTCCTACTAACTACACTATGAAATTCTGTACACACTAGGTGTGTATCATCAACCTCTGACACAGCGCCAGGCCACAAAAGACTTTCAAATACGTTTAGTGGAAAACTGAGCAACTGAACCTTTGAATCTTTCCTATCCCACTCAATATCAGCAAAGCACCCCACAAATATGGACAATTACATTTTTTGCAATAATCTTTGACACACGACACATTCTTTCTTTTCCTACTGGCCATACTTTCAACAGCCTCTTTGGAGGGAAAAGCCCTGTATTATGTCTTGTTCATTCTCCAATACAAATATTCCCTACAAGAGAATACAGAGTTCAGTATATGTCTAATCTAGTAAAATTTCACACAATACCATCTTTGATTAGCCACGTGGTCCTTACAAAATTTATAAATCTACGAAAAATTTTAACACCTTTTTTTTTAAGCTTACACTGAGACTTCAGAATGCTTCCCAACACAGCTGATGTTAACAAGGATGCCTGGAAGATGGAGGTGGGAGCAGGAAAAAAGACCATAGTGAAGAAACAACTTAATGTACTTCCACTGCCACCTTTATCCCGAGAGAATTTAAATGGGAAGGGAAAAAAATGGAGGTAGAACCTATGATTCAGAATAAGCGATAAAGAAAACAAAAGATGCTGAATTTGCAAACTGTGCGTTTTAACCTACCCTTTCAAATAATTTTTGAAGAATTTTTTTTTAAGCCACATAATCTTTTGCTCCATCCAGGCGCAGCTGGATCTCGTCTCACCCAACATCCCCCGCCTCCACACACACACACACACACACACACACACCCCTACCACTATAAGTCCCTGTGCCAAACCAACCATCAAGGGAAAAATTAAACCCTGAGCATCATTTCCTAATTCTCTCTGAAAAATAGTGACAATTCTTTATTCTTTTTCCCACAGGAAAATTACCTATTCTAACGGGATGGGGGGGGGGGGACCCAGCCCATTATCATGCAGCTTCTCATTCTCCACAGGGAAAAAAAATGGCAATAACTTCCACTAGGAGACAACTGCTCTTCTACCGCATCCCCGGTTAGAACCTAAAAACAAACACGCAAAAACCGGTCTCTTGCGGCTTTCACACGAATAGAAAACGGAGGCACACTACTTTGCAGCAACACAGCCCCTCAAGAGCCCTCCGGAGCTCGGGGGAGGGCGCCGTCCGCCCCGCGCCGCCGCCGTCGGCCGGGCAGGGTTCTGTCACCCGGAACGCCGCCCTCCGCCTGCCCCGCCGCCGAGCGGGGGCGGGACACAGCACTCCGCACCGAGGACCGATGCCGGCGGCTAAACGGGCGCCGAGGCCAGGCCGCTCCGAGCGCCGGATCCGCGCCCCTCCACAGCCCCCGCTCCGCGCCTGCCCCCGGCCCGGCCCGCGCCCCCGCGCCCGCTGCCCCCGCGCCCGAGCACCGGCCGGGCGGCGTCGCACCTGGATGTAGTTGTTCTCGCAGTAGTCGGCCACCCGCTCCAGGTTCGTGTAACTGTCGAAGAGGGCCCGGCGGCCCCCCGGGATCTCCTCCTCCAGCAGCATCTGCAGCTCCGCCATCTTCACATCCTCCTCCTCCTCAGGCGGACCGCAGAGGGAGCGGCGGCGGCGCCAGGGAAACCCAAGGCCGGGAGAGGAGGGGGGCGCGGCGGCGGCAACGCGGGAGGAGCGAGGAGCAGCCCCCGCGCGCGGCAGGGGAGGGGGCGGCGGGGCCGGGGGCGGGGCGCGAGCCGGCCGACTCGAGGACGGTCACCGCGGCGACGGCCGGCCCGGCGAGCGCACGCGCGCTCCCTCCGTCCGCCCCCGAGCGCCCGAAAAAGATTCCCACCCGCGCCGCCCCCCCCACTTCCGGCGTCTCCTAGCGACGACGGGAGCGGGCCGGGAGGCGCGCCGTTAACCCTTCGGGCCCCGCGGTTGCGTGGCTCGCGAGGCCCCCGGCGGCCTTTGTTAGTCCGGCGCAGCGCGCCGCAGCCGCCGCCCCGCGGTCAGCGGCCTGAGGGATAATCTCGGGCCGCAGAGCTTCCATGCGGCTTGACGCGCCACCTCGCTTTCCGTTTTTCGCTTCATCCTTGACCTCCTCCATCCTCTGTGGTGCAGATAATCCCAGGGCTCCTCCCGTGTGTGCCCACTGAAGCCTCTGTTGTGTTCCTGTCCGCCGTCCCTGGACCTCAGCCTTGCGTGCCTGCCCAGCCGCGGTTCCCTTCCTCGCCCGCAGCCTTCCCGTCACTCCCCGGCCGCCGTCGACTTCGCTGTCTGTTGTCCTCGTGGATTCAGTATTTCAAGTTTCGGAACGGTTTTGCCGGTACTAATTTCCTTCTTCACAGGGCTGTTACATGGATAAAATAAAAGTTTATGTGAAAGCACCTGGAAAAACCTTCAATGCTACAGAAATTCAAGGTAGATCATTTCGATCTTGCAGAGTTATTATTCTGTTCTTACTCTCCGGATACTGTATCTTTTCGTCCTAAATCTGACTACTCCACACAATGTAATCTTAAAAACTAAAATGCCTGACAACTGCTGAGATATTATCAAGTCCGTGACCTTTACTTGTACTGCGGAAAGTCAAGGTTGACTACATTTGTAGTTTAGAACAAGATCCATTATTTCAACTCTTGTTCTTGCTTTTGTGATTCCTTGGCCTTCCTACAGGGATTTTTTCACCTCTTTTTTTTTTTTTTTCCTCCAGATGATGAGGAAACTATATTATAGTTTCTCAAAAAAAATCATTTTAATTTTCTGGAGCAATCTCTGATGTTATTATATTGGCTCTATGATATACACATTAGCAAATTGAGTTTTCACTGTGACACTCAAATTAGAGGATATTGAAGATGTTGGTCCAGTCCAACTAGTTTTATTCTTAACCACTTTAAATATCTTCTGTATTAGTGGTTCTCAGATTTAAGTGTGAAAAGCTTGTTAAAAATGAAAGCCACGGGGTCCCACTCTAGAGACTGATGAGAGAGTAGTGATGGAATGGGGTAGTTACTTAAACGGCACATAAACCTGCTTCAGGGAATAAGACACGGATGAAAATCAAATGAATAAAACATACTAGACCAAGCAAACTTTTCTCTCAGATTAAATTTCAGTGGATCAAAAGGCTACTGTTGAACTGTAAGCAACCCACCAGGTGTGTTAAATGGTAGACAGACTCTTCCCCCATTACACTTATCCCACCTAGCATTCTTTCAAATACTGCTTAGCATTAACCCAATAAACAAATCTCTCTGAGGGATCATTCCTCATTTTAGGAATCACTGCGTGAAGATTCTAGTACTTTCTCAAATTAATTTGTGACAACCTCTTTGGATCTTAGTTTCCTTATCTGAAAAATCAAAGGGTTAAGCTCAGGTCCGTTGTTCTGCAACTTCAGTGTGGACTGGAATCACCTGTAGGGCTTGTTAAAACACGGGATTCCTAGACCCCCACCCCGAGAGTTTCTGATTCAGTTGGTCTGGCCCAATTTATATTTCTAATTTATATTTCTAACAAGTTCCGCGGTGATGCAGCTGAAACGGCCCTTCTGGCTCTGATGGTCTGTGATTCCAAGTTCTGGCAGCTGGGAATCTCCACCAAGAGAGCTTTTAACACTAAGCAGAATCTAAGGCTCCAAGGACATAGATATACACTTGTGCTGCCACCAACATAATTTAAGCAAAAAGGAAACAACTACAAGATCTATAAAAGTACCTATATCGTGTGTATATGTATTATCCGAGGGGTGGGATTGTAGGGGGGTTTTTTGTTCATCTTAATTTTTCTAAAATTAACATGGATTATTTTTCTAAGAGTCCAGTGAGACTATCTCCCAAAATCACAGAGAATACTTTTATTAATGCAGCCCAAGATAACATTTTTTTAGCAATTTTATCATCAGCTTGATTCAAAGTAAGCATTAAAAACTCTTAGATTTTTTACATATTAACCCAGTCATGCCAAGTACAGTTGATTTTTTTTTTTAATCTAATTGCAGTTGTTTATATTTATTTCCAATATGTTATACCTTGGCTTTGTCTCAAATTTGAATCCTTGAAAATAAATAATCTTGCTTCACATCATCTAGAGATGTGATAAGCAAGACTGTGGGGTTCACCATAGCCTTTAATAAGAATGCTGAACAAATCAAGGCCAAGAAGACAGCCTGATGGCTTGCACTAAACGCCTCAGTCATTCAGAGCCACTATCAATATACCTTAAATTTGGCCACCTGTGAATGTACCTTAAAGAACTCACCCTTATCCAACGTTCCATCATCATAGTGACACGACTCGTGAGAAAGTGTCAAATTCTTCTGCTGAAATAAAGATGCACTATGTCTGTGGAATTCCCCTGATGTATATCATCCTAGTAACTCGATCCTTAAACGAGGAAATTAAGGTAAGGACAATGCCTGATAGTATGGGCTCAAAAGAAATAAACGTTGCTCAACAGAACTGTTTACATAGCTCTTCTTACAACATCTAGAAGACATACCCATTCACTCCAGACATTCTCCTCAGATTTTTCCTGCACACCATTGACATGCTAATTGACTATAATCATTGTTTTCATCACTAACTCTTTGTCCCAAAATTTTCAGTCTCTCTTTTAAATGACATCAACCTACCAGCTTTAGTATCAACCTTATTAACAGTGTCAATTAGTATTTAATATTACTGTATTTTCTCATTCATTTTTAAATTTATTAGAGAACAAATAGCATCTATGGCACCTAAATAATGATTCCAGCTGTTTCATATCCATACAAATTTATTCTTTTTCCTGGTTTTACATTAAATGCTTGGAAACTATTAAAGAATGTCTTTCTTCTTAATGAAGATATTTTGGACTGTTTTCGTTTTTCACCTTGAGAATTTTAAAATTAGTTTTCTGGCTGCTATTGCTTTATCAGGCAATACCAAATTGGGTATATATGTATATATATTGTATATTACAATATATATTTCTTTTTTTTTTTTTTTTTGGTGAGGAAGATCAGCCCTGAGCTAGCATCCATGCCAACCCTCCTCTTTTTGCTGAGGAAGACCGGCCCTGAGCTAACATCTATTGCCAATCCTCCTCCTTTTTTTTTTTTTTCCCTTTTTCTCCCCAAAGCCCCAGCACACAGTTTTATGTCATAGTTGTACATCCTGTAGTTGCTGTATGTGGGACGCGGCCTCAGCGTGGCCGGAGAAGCAGTGCGTCGGTGCGCACCCAGGGTTCCGAACCCTGGGCGGCCAGTAGTGGAGTGCATGCACTTAACCATTAAGCCACGGGGCTGGCCCAACAATATATATTTCAATGAATGAATATAGATGAATACATATATTTCAATGAATTTTAAAAGAATTCCTTTTTGTGCAATTAAATTCCTGTTAGAGATTTTACAGGAGAAATGCAAGCAGAGTTTTTATTCAAACAATGACATGGTTAACTGAGTTCTCCTTCTCACCCCAAACAAGAAAAATAATTATCAGTGATTAATATTTTCACAGCCAGCCCTGGTGGTCTAGTGGTTAAGATTCAGAGCTTGCTGAGGCCCGGGTTCGTTTCCAGGTGGGGAAACCATATCACCCGTCTGTCGGTTGTCAGGCCGTGGCAGCTGCATGTTGCTGTGATGCTGAAAGCTACACCATTGGTATTTCAGATCCCAGCAGGGTCACCCAGAGTGGAGAGGTTTCAGTGGAGCTTCCAGACTAAGACAGACTAGGATGAAGGACCTGGCCACCCACTTCTGAAAAAATTGGCCATGAAAACCCTGTGAATAGCAGTAGAGCACTGGCTAGTACAGTGCTGGAAGGTGAGAGGATGGCGCAGAAAGACTGGGCAGGGCTCTGCACTGCTGTCCACAGGGTCACTAGGAGTCCGAATCCACTTGACAGCACTAAGAACAAAACATTTTCATAGTATTTATGTACATTTCTGGGTTTTAATCAGATTTAAGACTATCAGGAAATTTTCATACCAAGTGTATATAATTTGAATGTATTTTTGAAATGAATTTTCTGTATGTGATCAAAAGATAAATGGCTGGAATCTAAGCTTTACATTTTTAGGCAAGTGTTATCATCTGAAATGTTGGTTTCAGTTTTAGTGATATAAACTTTGGTCTCAATTTTAGGGATATGGATATAATGGTTAAAAATGTACCAAACTATTTGGGGAAAAAAGGCTTACTGTACAATAGAGCATTCTGTGCTTTACAGCTGTATGAACGCACATTTTAAGAAATAAGTTAAAAATTCCTGGAAAGAATACACATCCATCAAAATTAGTTTGTAAAAAAAAAACAAAACCCTCATTTTCAGAAAGTCAATAGCTATATAGCCCACAATTCTCATACATTTTTTTCTTTTTTATTGAAAGTCATATTTTTTTCTCTCTTCATTATGGAAATTACAAACATACCATATGGAGAATGGTATGATGAATACACAAATACCTATTAATTAGATGTAACAACAGCTTCTATTTTACCTTATCTTATTTTTATGCTAAAGAATTTTAAAGAAAATTACAGTAATCATGACATTTAACCCATGATACATTACTATATATCTCTAAAAAATAGAACATTTTGCTACATAACCACAATATTGTTAGCACATTCAAGAAAATCAACAAGAATCCCTTCATACTATCCAATACCCAATAAAAAACATTTTTCAAGAAGAAATTACACTTATAAAGAGAGGAATACCATATACTCAAGATACAACCTGGAGGGATTATATTTAAATACTTAGTAATCTATAATAGTTTCCTGTGGGAGACAAAAAAAATAGCTCCCTTCCTTGTGAAAGATA